GTGTGTGTGTGTGTGTGTGTGTGTGTGTGTGTGTTAGGTATGTAAATTATGCACACATGTACTTATACACAAAGGCCAGAAACTTCAATGTCTGTTACCTAAAAGTTACCCTATTCATACAAAAAATCTATTCATACAATTTTATGTAGGTATCATTATATTATGTATATAAATTCTAATTTGAAATAAAAATATTTGCTTCAAATATGTATCTTTTTTGTATTACATAGTACATAACATTACAGATAACATTTCATTTTTCGAATTTTTTCGTGAGAATTATAAATTATGAAAATCCATAATGCGCTTATACATTTCTCTTTATAGATAGAGGAAAAGCCCCTATTATGATATACTGAGTTCATTTTGAGTAAATGTTAGAAATCTATGGATAGAATTTTAAAAAATAATAGGTCATTTTGAAGGGAATTTAATAAGTTTTAAGATAATGTTATGTAAAATTTAAATTAAATTCTATTTTTTTTTAAATTAAAGAAATGTAAAAAGTGAGTAAATGGCAAAGTTAAAAAATTGTGCTTTTAATATGAAGGCTCCCCCAAGAAATCGATAATAAAACGCAAAGCACATTAGTATTGCAATTAAAAAACTTTATTTTATGTTTCTAAAATACAAACAAACACAGCCAGTATGCGCGCAAAATGAGCATGCGATGCATTGTACCTAGGACTCGTCTTCAAATAGTTGGAACCAAGCATCGCAGAAACATGCACTCGATGTTCATTCCGGTTGTCATTTTTATTATTGTATAATAGCATTTATACTTTAGCAACGATTTTCACTATGATATAGAAGCATAGGTTATTTCATATTAGAAATATCCTGGGGTATCTCTTATTACGATTTCCACGCCTTACGATTCTCTACGATCATAAAATCTAACTTCTGTCATTAAGCAATACAACATATCCTGTATTTTTCTATTAGTACGATTTTACTCTATCGCTGCATAAAAATTTATTGCCAAATATTTACTTATTAAATAATGAACAAGGTTTAAAGGCTCATCTCAATGAAACTTGAAGACATCCAAATTCTAAAATCTTTTTTTACAACGACTACAGGCATGATTTAATAATGAATTTTTCACTAAAAAGTTTTCAATCCAAGAGCAATAAATTCATGGTGGAATCAATAGATAGCGTTTATTAGTTTAGCAGATACGCCGCTATATCTCATATTAGGTGCCTATTTCATAATAAGGGATCTTTCCTCTATATAAATAAGAATTAAACGCTTTGTGATATTAAAATTAAATAAATGTTAATTAATGTTATCCATTGTTACATCTATTTTTAGTTTATACAAAAACCGTTATAAAAGAATGATTGAATTTTTAAGTTAAAATTATCATAATTAATTCTTCACTGACAACATGAACATTTTTTCTGTCAAAATCATAGCTTAAGTCATTGAAGTCCACAGCAGATTTTTTTATTGTTCCGGACTATATAAAAATCTGAAAAAATTCTTGTACACTTGTAAAATCTTTAACAACAAGTTTTTACTATAATAGAAGTTGGATTGTATTTTACTTATTTTTTACAAATTTAAATGTAAGAGTTTTGAAGTTTTTATGACAGAGAGTGAATGAAAAAGAAAATCCTTTTAGATTTCAATACTTGAGAATATGAATTTCAGAAAAAAGTAGTATAATGATAATGGCTTCAACAAGTTGAATTATTTGAGCCTAAAAATGAAGATTTTTATGAGCAAAAAAAATTAAATTAAATTCTAAAATAAGAATTATACAGCACAGCCTGCACAATAATGTGTACAATGCTTTTCTCAATTAATTTATCATATACGGCATAGTATAATGTTATATGCAGTTTTTCTTTATTTGACCAAAGACAAAATGAATATCTTTTACATTTTTCTAATTTATCAAATCTTTCAGAAGGAAATACTTCTTCAATTTCAAGTATTTTATGAATATGTATGTCTAATATATCATCGTAAATGTTAATTTTGCTTTTACATCAGTGAAAAATGATTTATAATAAACATCGATAAAACTTATTTTAAAAATAAAATCTTTATATACTTATTAAAATCAGCGTCAAAAGATGTAAAACACGAAAAAATCTAAATTTTTTATTTATAATATCTTACGCAGTCTACAATATAATTTGCTGTTAACAGGCATGACTTCTGTTGGTCCATGTAATGAAACAATGAAAATAACTGGATACTTTGTATACACATATTTTCAACATTACCACGATTTTTACAAGAGACTACCAAATTCCACTATCTATTCGTTTTCTTAAAATTCAAAGTTGATTGTACCTTAAAAATTCTATATTGTTATTAGAGGGTTAAATAACAATTTTACTTCTTTTTAAAGATTTAAATAAGAATTTAATTGTTTGAAGTAAATAAAAATATATGTATTTATTCAATATTCTTTCGTCTATTTTTTAATTTATTATATAATATAATATGTATTATGTCTTACCATGTTTGGCATGCTAACCGCCTCTGGTTGCGGACCTGGGTTTCCACGCGGTTCTTGACCCGATGCAATTCTCAGTCTCAGTTCATTGTGTTTATTTACTATAATCGTCTTGTCAGTATCACTAAGGCCAACTTCTGATTGTCCGCATTCTTTTGCTGGTTTTGACTACGACATCATGATTTTGTAAAATTAGCTAACAAATACATTCTTAATATATGCATTGTTCGTGCATTTATTACAGTTAGCGTCAATATCAAAAGACGCGCCCTTTTTTCCGCAGCGCCTAGCGTTTTCCGCTAGTTACCTTTAGTTTTATGGCGAATTTAATTGGAAGAACTAGTGCGCACTGGTGCATATTAAAGCCGTTGTACACTAATTTAATTTAAGTATAAAAATGAAATGCAAATATTTCGAATTATGAAATACATATTTTACCTAATAGTACAATAAAATGTATTAAGTATTTCACGATTTAATCGATCTCTATGTTTATTTATAAACATATCTTTACGTTATTTCGTGTACGACGGCTTTAATGTGCACCAGTGCGCACTGAGTGCGTCCAATCGAATTCGCTATTAGTCTGGCGTTCCGCCAGAGTTCATTCCGTTCGATCGATCGCGACATCGATCAAGAGAGCTAGTTTTCTTATTATTACTATACTACTGTTCTTACTGTGTAACACGTATCCGACATTGTTTGGAAATCCTATATTTGGAATCCTATATTAAATATTCGTTTTTGTACATTTGAGTGAGTGTTATCATTCGCAAGAATATTCCCATACACGAACATGCATATATAAATTAAATTCCCTCTTATTAAGGAATTTTAACAATAAAACTTTTAAAGAGGAAAAATGAATGTCTTTAATAGATAAAATAAACTTTATAACTAAAATAAACACTTTTTATAATTTATTATATACTTTTCGTAAATTGAGAAGAACACAAAATTTTTCTTATATATAGAGTCTAAAACTACAAAGTTTCATCAAAATATAATAATTCGAACGGTTTTTGAAATTTTTAGAAAAAAACAAAATTTTTTTTAAATTTTGATATTCTTTTTAACTAAGCCGTTTCAGATATACACTGCCGGTTAAAAATCTTTGGACACCATGCATACTTACGGTACAAGGATAAAAACGTTTAAGATAAACATGAATATTCGATCAAAACCAAAGAAAATATTATATTTATTTAAATAAAGTATAAAAAACAAAATAAAATCTTATCATTTGAGACCCTTACGATTAGAAAAAGTCAAACCTTCTTTTCATCAAAAAAGCCACCTTTAGCCCTTAATACATTTTTTACTACTCTAAGCATCTTGTTGATCAAATTTTGCAAAATAATTGGCTCTAATTGCTTTCAAGAGGCTTCTAATATATTCCAGAGGCTTTCTTGAGAGATTGGACACTGATTCCTCACTTTACGATCAAGTTCTTCCCATAGAAGTTCGATTGGGTTTGGATCAGGCGATTGTGGTGGCCATTCCATTAATTTTAGTATTTATTTATTTTCTTCTTTTTTCTTCATCAAGAAATTCTTGCAAAGCTTTGAAGTGTGTTTCAAGTCATTATCTTGCTGCACATAATGAATCCCCGGCCAATCAATTTTTTTCCTGCAGGAATTGTGTGATGAACAAGGATTTTGTGGTATCCTTTCTGATCAAAATTTCCACATTTGATTCTACACAGAGCATTCACTCCATAGTAGTAAAATGCCCCCCGAACCATTACGGATCCTCCACCATGTTTGACAGTTGGTATATGCAATTGGGCATCATCTTTTCGTTCGCCGAGCGTTGTACATACGTATATTCTTCTTTTGCTGTCAAATATCTCAAATTTGAACACATCCGTTCATAACACTTTTTTAAAATCTTCTACAGTCCAATTCTTGTGTTTTCTACGCCCATTGCAATCTTTTCTTTTTATTTACTGGATGAAGAAGTGGTTTCCATACAGTAATCAAAGAGATTTTCATCTTAAATTTGTGTGACGAATCATTGCTTAAAATCTTTTAACGTACGAGTACTTAGCGTATACACCTTGTGTATCGAAAAGGATTTAATGATGAACGATCTGATTTAACTTATCTATCAGAACGCACGGATACGATAGTCTAATGTAATTGTAATTATTATATAATGTATATCACATTATTATATAATGTGATATACATTTTGTATATCAGTGCATATCAAAATAAAAAATAAAAATAGCAAAAAACATAATTCACTTACACAAAAAACAAGTTCGCCGGTCTAATCGGGTCACTGGTAGCATATGCTCGACTTTTACCTGCCGCTGTACGAAATACGACTGACAAAATATGGCATCACTTAAGTTCTCACTATTAAAGTGGTTCTTTAGTAAATCGAGTTACCATAGAAATGTCTAATTTTTTTATATAATAAAGTACAAGTACCGAAATTGATATGTGCAAAATTTTACAGTACACGATATAGGTTAATGATGAAATAAGAGAGAAAAAAAAGTTAAAATGTAGCCTTTTACATATAATTTAGTGATAGTGACAAATAAGGCTCGCAGACGCTTCTTTAACTAACTGCACACAAATCTTACCATAGACTTTTCTCAAAAATGAGATTATAATAGTTTAAAATTTACTATTTTAATGGTCACAAGAAAGTAACAAGTCAATGGCTATTCTGGAAAGATATTTACCTGCATGTGTTTTCGTTCGTTGGAGATGCAGGTCTTGATTTACTATCGTATGTTCCATACTATTTCATTAAGACGGTTAAGATATACACATAGTTTTAATATTTTACCCAAATTATATAGATATTTGTAATTTTGGGTGGGCCCTGATGCCCCTGATGAAGCACCCCAAATATTTTCGGCATTACTAAAGAAACACTTTAATAACTTTTTTTAGAGAGAGGAGCCGATCTCCCTTCCGCTTATTGTCTAATGAATAATTTAAAATTGGAAAAGCTTTGGTCTTTAAATCCAATTGGACCATGGAAGATTAACACGAGAAGATAATTACATTAGGTCTTTAAGATAATAATAATTTAATAACTTTATTGATATGCATTAGTTATATGCAAAAGAATACAGCGGAAGAATAAAATACAGCGAGATATGTATCTACAGATGAAACATAGACCTGAACCTAAAAGCTAAAGACTAAATCTTATTGTAATAAGTTTGCGAATTAAAGAATTATATTAATTTAAAAAGGGGAAATACAGAATAAGCTAACCGAAATAAATGAACTATATATCGGACATAAAATTATAAAATTCAGAAAAAGGATCATTTAAACAATCTCAATGATGTTCTATATATGATTCTCAAATGCATGTTTATAAGTATCCTTTCAAAATTCGTACATTCTGTAGATTTTATTAATATTTTATAGACTATATTTATTTAATTACACTTAAACTCTACATATACATATACACGGTAAAAAATATTTTGTATTTATGTTAAAACGAATCCTTATTAAAATTTTTGTGTTAAATTTTTAACATATCCGAATATTAATTTAACATAATGTAATTACGTTATTTGACTATTTTGTGTTAAATTAAAAAAAATTTAACATTTCTCAATGTTAAAATAACACAATTTATAGGTAACAAATAATATAAAAATGTAGTTTTAAAACATTATAAATTCTAAGAATACATAAATAAAATATGTGCATTAATTTAATATATTATAAATGTTAATTTTATTGAAGAAATATATTCTGTACAGCTAGTTGCATATTTTATATGTAAAAAGGTTCAGATATTTTGTGTTATTTTTTCTTTGTAACAGTAAATATCTGTTAAATCTATATATTGCATATGTTAAGTATATCACAGTCTGGTAGATTGGAACATGTAAAATGTGTTAAATTTAACATAAAATTTTTTACTGTGTACATACATATATTTTAATAATTACAAAATTAAAGAAGTGTTATTTCTCCTTAATAATATTGCCATAATAATCGTAAAATTATGCATAACTACGACAGATATCATATACCATTTTACAAACTTTTTAAAAAAAGCATTATATAAAAAGATTTACATTCCCATGTTTAATTCTTCTTTATTTTATATATATGTTTACATATATCTCACAAATTATTTGTTTCAATAATTTAATTTAAAAATTAAAAATATTAGATATGCTCTTTAAGATATACTTTTAAGATATTATAAAGAACTTGATTGTGCGTTAATTGTAAGTATACAAGACATAATTTTTGCATTTGTGAATATATGACTATATTGTTACTTACGGAGTTGTATTTGCACATAGTATGACTTCTTTCCTTGCATGATTTCATTTTGCAGTAATCTGCTACGGTTACGATAGTAAACATCGTGATTACGAGTATACACAGAAGATTAAAGATTCCTGTCATTATTCTTTCTTGATTCGATAATTTCTTGTATGATAAAAGCGCGACTTTATTGTTGCCTTTCTAGCTTTTTTCAAACTACTAACGAGCTGAACCGAACGTGCAGCACAATTTATATGCAGCGCGTTATCAGTTAATTCAAGACACATTAGCATTTTCTTTCTCCTCACAATGTGGATCTATTACGTTAGAATTTATAAAACATATTGAGAGGATAATCTTCTTGAGGCTTCCACGGGTGCTTTCTGTATGAAGGTTATCCGTTTCGCGGGTTTTTTCCGTGTCCATGTCCATTCTTGGAATGCCAAGGCATGGCCACGGAGAAAACCCGCGAAACGGATAACCTTCATATTGAGGATAATTTAACAAGACTAAAAATAAACTCGAATGGATTCAGAAACAGTTTTTTACCATACGTACAAAGTATCAAAAATATCACAGAGAATAGATCGGACATTGATGGTATGATCTTAGACTCTTTGGATGCTACGAAACGATTTTTTAAAGAAAATCCATAAGTATTTTTAACGAGAGCGGACAAAGGCAATGTGGTTGTTGCCATGAATAAAATCGATTATATTGATAAAATGGAAATTTTGTTATCGGACACCGATACGTATTCTGTTGTTCCGCACAATCCGACTAACAGAATTTTGAGTGATCTTAAATCTTTGTTGAAAACTTGGAAAAGAAATAAATATGTGACCGATCATATATATAATTTTCTAAATTCTACTAATGCTATAATACCAAGGGATTACCAAAAATACACAAAACAGGCAATCCATTAGGTATCATAGTCTCATCCATTGGAAGTCCTTTACATAATTTAGCGGTTTTTTTACATAAAATTTTGGATTCTTGCTTTGAAAAACCGATGGGGCACATTAAGAACAGTTTTCAACTAGCCAAAGACTTATCACATTTAAATTTGATAGATGACTCAGTCTTTGTCTCGCTCGACGTTGTCTCTCTATTCACTAATGTTCAAGTGGATTTAGTTATTGAGAGCATCGAAAATAGGTGGCCGAACATACAAAATAATATCAACATAAAAATGAAAAGGTCAGGCCATGTTCAAAAAAAGATCCTCAAAAATTTAAACTTTTATAAATTTAAATGATTATCTAAAATAATATATTACCATGAAGAATAACTGATATGTTATTCAAGGTTCAAGTTCAAAATGAAAATACATACATATAAGTAAAACAAATTACAATTTGATTCTAGAAAATAAGTGCGATGTTATTCTTAGTGCACAAAATATAAAAGTTGTTTATTGAGATTTGATTTGAAATTTATATACTAGCCCGTACAATGAAAAATAATTGCGAACTCTATAATATTAAAGTTTTAAAGTATTGTCTGCAGAAGTGGGATTGAAGGTAAGTACAATTATATTTAGGAACAACTTAAAGTATGTCAACTAATATATTTTAGGTTCGAAAAATGATGAAAAAACGGTTTTAATTTTTTTTTCGTTATGTTCCACCAAATCTAAAAATCTGAAAAAAATATTGAATATAATTTTTATGATGAGATTTAGCTGCTGAATTATTTTAAAAGTGGTCAAACATTCAGATCATATAAAAAATGCGATTTTAAAAATTCTTGAATTTTTAAAAACAGAATTTTGAGCCAGGAATGACAAAAAAATTTTTACTCTAATCTTTTTGATACCCTTTATATCCATGATTTTTTTTAAAGATCCGTTTAGATTTAGCGGGGAAAAAAATACTAATGAAAAATCATATTTTGTTCGATATCTCGAAATAGTGTAACTCTTTTTGGATGAAACTTTGTACAAAATATTCTTTCATCTGGATGTTCATTTTGTTCTCTGTTGCAATCGATTACGTGCGGGGGCCCGAAATCACCTTTTTATCCTGCTATACCCTCTGTATCTTTTCTAAATTTTAAATAAAGTAAGATTAACGTCATTGTGTTATATTTAAACAACGAAAATTTAAAAAAGTATTTAAATTTTCAAAATATTATAACATTAATTTACGAATTATATATGTTATAAATAATATGATATATTCATATAATAATGTTATAAACTTATAAATTACAAATATTATAAATAAATTTATAATATGCGTATTTTAAATTTAAATTTTATTTTGCGAAATAAATGCACTGAAATATGTTAAAGAAGAAACAAATGTGTTATTGAAAAGTCTTAATTAGCATACATAATAATTAATAAGAAGAGCCACGTGCCATCAGAGCCACGTGCAGCATTTTAATTTGCACAGCTGTGCACAAACCACATTTGACATTTGATTATGTAACACGCAGGAAAAAAACTGCGTATTAACTCTAGCTATACACACTATTTTTTTCTACTTTTGATATATACACTCGGGTCCCTGGGATTCCATATTTGTTATCGTACTTCCGTAACTTCCGTAAAAATGGACATATTTCAATTAATTTTTTTTTTCAATTGATGGAGAATTGATTAAGAAACAAGTCCATAAGGTGTAAAAGTCAATAGAATTAAGAAACTTCAAGATATATAAATTTAAAGAAAAAGAAAAGTTCAGAAACACGAAAAAATCTCGATTTAGCAAATTGCATTGAGATGTCTGGGATTCCGTGTGTATAGCTGAGGCTAATAGAGATTACCCTTACGGAAAATATTGGATTCGCGAAAAAATTATTGGAAATCATTGGAAAACCATTTAAGTACATTATTGTACATTATTCATTTTAATAGTTTTTTTTACGAGTCCAATAATATATTTTTCTGTAGGGGCACTTTAACACACGATGTGCAATACGTCAATGACATAATGTACAATACCTATACCATATTGTTTGAAAATTGCATACTACTATAAATAGGATTGGGTAAATTAAAACTTTTTTAAAATTAAATTAATATTTTTTTAAACTAAATTAAGTTAAAGTTAATGGCTTACAAAACTAATGTAGTTAAAAGTTGAATAAACAAAAAATAACTCAGTTAAAATTACGTTAAGACTGAATTAACTCAAATTAAATAAAAATTTATTATTATCTAATAATATATTAAAGACCTAATGCCGGTCGAAGCTATATAGATCTTAATTGTTTTTTTTTAAATAATTCAAAATGTGAATTATATATATATACTACTATATATGTACTTGCATATATATAGTATACAGAGTGTTAGTTATATTGCCATATTCAACAGAGCGATTCTTTGGCTCATTTCAAGTAAAAAAGTTCATATAAACATGTGTCCAAACGGCTTAGTTTCCGAAATAAAAAAATTTAAACGTGTAGTAATCATCTGTTTATTTGAAAGAAATACAGCTTGAACTAATTAAAAACTAGTCAAAAACAGAAAAACAAAAAAACACACACAGGCTTCAGTTCTTCTGATGAAATAAAACAATTAGATGAATTGTTGAAAATGTCCACCTTGCGCCATGGTACATCCATCGAGCCTGCTTCTCAAAGATTGACATACACACTCAAAGATCAGAACTGTCTATTTTTGATTTTGTGACTTTGACTTTGACTTTGTCACTTTGTTTACGGTTGTGCGAATGGTAACTCACGTGAAGCAAGGCATATTTATGTGCAAGAAGATATTTCCAATGCAATTTACCGTTTCGTCAAACATTTGAGGTAAATAAATTGAGGTAAACAAAAAATTGAGATAAATAAACAATAAAATTTCAATATATTGTAAGTAAACTAGTTTAATTTAATAGATATCTTCTTACTTCGAAATTTGATTGTTAAAACTATTGAATATTAACAACAATATTTAAAAATACGATTAAATTGTGACATGAAAAATTTAATCACAATGTGTTAATTGCTGAAAAATTATATGACTTTTCTGAAAAATATTCAAATAAAGAAAATTATTTTAATTTAGCAATTTAGTATATTTGACTTCCATCTTTTAAGAAGCAATTTATAGTATTACATATTAGTCTTTTATATCAGAACATTCGTTGAACTGTTAAATATAGCATACAATCTGTTATGGAAATTCGAGCATTAATAAATCCAGAACCATGAAAAGCCTATCAGGTGAATTGAAAAATCACGGTCTGCTCAAATAAGCTTCGGCTTATCGTTATATGCATCAATAGAACTGGATGCTTGAAAACGGCTCGATTTCAGGTCACGCACTTTACTGAAAAATCATCGTTTTTTTTTCTTTATCTTCTTTTTCTATTCTTTCGAGACTGTCGGACGTCAAAAAATGGGGGCCTTGGTGGGCGGGTGGCTATTCGAATCTTCAAGAAGAGATGAATGAAAGCCAGAAGTCCATTCACGCGCGCACCTGACTCCAAGCTCCGAGTCGTGAGAATCGATCCGGAAATTTTTCAAGATCTCTTTCTTTTTCGCTCTCGCCGTTATAGATACTCCGTCTGAACGTCTTCGGGAATACAGAATGTAATGCACAAACAATTTCCTCACCGACGTTTCTTAAATTGTCCCACGATTACGTTTGTGGTCCATGTTATTATATAGATTTCATGTGTATGGCATGCATATAAAAAACGTGTAAAAAGATGTGCCTCCGCAATTGTTAGTGCATAAATAATATATTTATAATTTATAAATAGAAATTAAATCTGAAAATGTAAAACTATATTAATAAATATAAATATATAAAAAAATTTAATTATACAATGAATATACATATAAATTTAATATTAATAAAACTGTGTTTGCATTTAAAAATAATCAATGAATGATTGCCAAAAAAAGCGGTATTTGACATCTGTTACATTATTTTTAGGTATGAACTTATATTTCTATCATTTTGAAATCATATGTCTATAATCCGAGACAAATTAAATGCATACAAAGAACTCAGAAGCCTGACTATCAAATTCTCAGTTTCTTATTCTCACACGTTCCAGAAATTCAATTTGTTACGCATTAATAATTACCTGCATCACGCTGACAGCTTAAGAGTGATCTCGTGAGAATATAGTAGACCTTATTATACTCTTTCTTTAAATCCATAAAATAATAATCCAATTATCTATTTTTGTATCTTCCATAATAGAAACTGAAAATTATTTAATACTAATTCTAGTAGTAAATGCGATAATATGTAAAAATGTAATGCAATAATATAATTCTATACTGTTAATTGAAAGTAAAAAGGAAAAAGATATATTAAAACTTCTATTTTCTATTTTAATATTTAGTATCAATCTTTTTTAATCGTTTTTAAGTTTTTAAAATAAAGTTAAACGAGACTTCTTGTTATACTTTTTGTTATCATTTCAAATACATATTCTACACAGTAAAAAAGTTTGTGTATTTGTGTTGGAAATGGTCCATACACGTTTGAATTTTTTAGCATATTCGAATGTTAATTTAACATAATGTGATTATGTTATTTAAAGATTTTTTTTTAAATTGATATTCAATGTTTCTTAGTGTAAAAAAAATGACACAATTTATAAGTTAGTGAACAAGTAACATAAAAATAATGTATTTTAAAAAACACGTAATTACGTAATTATGTATTTACATAAAAAAACGTAAATTCTAAAAAAAAATGAATGAAATATATGTTAATTTAACATATCATAAATGTTAATTTTCTGAAAAAAAATATATTCCCACGGTTTGTTTATAAACTGTCGATGTTATCTTTCTTTGTATTTATTCTCTTACATAATATTTATGTTACTTTCTAACATATTCATCTTGTGTAAAATTAAGTCAAAAATTTGAGTGGACCGTTTGGGACATGCGATTTATGTTAAATTCAACACATTTTTTTCCAACTGTGTACAAAGATATTAATAATATTAGTGATATTATATTATTATACAAAGATATTAGTGACATAATATATAATATTATTGAAATGATAGTAAATATTAAATCAAGTGAATAGTAAAAGACATACTTAAAAGTATTTCGGCATTTTATTGTGAAATTTATATTTTTTATTCGTTATTCTCCTCGTGAGCATAAATCGTTTCGTTAATGTCATCTTTATGCTCCTCCTCATCTTTATGATCCTCGTCATCTTTATGTTCTTTGTCGATATGACTTTCATATTCCTTGTCAATGTCATCTTTATGTTCCTTGTCAATATCTTCATGTTCCTCTAATATCTCAGGTTTAAGAAGATCCTTCTTCTCTCTTGGTAGCCATGGACGCGGTGCTCGGAACTCAAGATCGATTGTCTGTCTTTTATCGCCACTATCACAGTGCTTCCTAATTCTCAACAGGAATATATTTGGATTTTCTTCAAGATCGATTGGTCTTACCATCTTTGACCTTCTAACTTCCCTGCCATCTATGCGATAAGGAGCACTCCTGATATCGCCTTTTATATTTGGATACAACGTGACTGTGCGACATCCCGTCTCCTCGCAGGTTTTCTTTGTCGATGGCACGGACGCATCCTCTCGAGGAGTATGACAGAGTTCCAAATTTCCATGAGCCATATCGAATACAAAGCCGTCATCGCACTTTCCTTGACTCAATGCCGACTCTTTTGAAACTACTTGATCAATGCATTCGCACGGGGGATCGTACTCCTCTCTGATCGTCTCCTTGTGCATCCTGATGATGACGCGATTGTCATTGATGATAGCTTCGATCTCCTTGTGCGGCTGCTCCTTTTTAACGATCTCAGATACGACTATATCAGTTGGGGTTTGTTCCGTGTTGGGCATCTCAAGGTTCTTCATCTTTGATTTGCTTCTGCTCTGAAACTGCTTGTTCATGCTTTCTTTCGATGTAGAGATCGCTGCGCTTACTAGCCTGCATGAAGGAGTCGAATACATTCTAAGTGCATCCACAGCGCAACAACAAGAATATTGTGGAAGAGCTGATGATAAGTGTAGGGAAGGAATTTTCAGAAGAAAACTTTTACGATTGATGCAGCAACAAGCTTCGTTTTCAGATGTTGAATAGATATGTTTTGGTTTTTTAATAATTTTGGAATGAGTACAACATTGTGCTTGTTTTTGTAAATGGTGCAGAGTGCCGTGTGGTTGAAAATAGCAAGGTGAACAAGCTGCTTGTAATCCGAATGATCCAGGGCTCAGGGCAGACGGTTTTGCTGGACAGCCACAGTTATAAGTTGCCGCAATCATTCTTGCTGTTTTGTTATGTTATGTATGTGAATAATGGAACTTATTGTATAACATGATGGTAAATTGTTTGTAAACGTAATAAATTTTGACCGGGTTATCCAAATGGTGACATGGTGCGAATTTTACTGCGAATTGATGTTAGAAATGGCAAATCTGCGATGTATTTGTTTTCTATAATACGCAGTGTGAATATGTCGGATTAAATAATCAATTTAAAGAAACTGTACTGAATCCCAACCACAATTTTATAAAAATGGGACGTTAAATATACAAATAATACAAATAATAATCTTTCTTTCAATGAACATTCCACATTTCAAGTAATCCGTAAAAATGCAATTTTCTAATGATCAAGGTAAATATAAGAAAAGTCTGTTTTTGTTAATTAGTTGAAATAAATTTTAATCCAAATTGTTTACTTCAAATTTAATTTAACAACCAATGCCTCATTTTTAACAAAATTGTTTTTTGTTATATTTAATTATAAAATAATTGTATTTAATATTTTTTAAATAAAGCATAAATATTCATATACAGGGTGGCCCATGTAAAGTATTACAAGCTATTATCTCTGAAAGTGTGTGTCAAATGATTAATATATTCAGACAAAAGTTTTATGACTGAGGAGAGCATAAGATGGTTCTATAGCTTATCTCGAGAGCTTTTCAAAACACTATACACTTTTCAAAACAAAATATTTTTTCATTAAGTATTTTTCGAGTTATGGTATAAGGCTCGAAAGTTACAGTACAGTCGGCATTACGCAAGTTGTCCGATCGAAGGTTAAAACCTCTTGAATGTTGTTCAGGATCATGTCCTAGATAACATTTGTTAAAATCAAGGCCATTGGAGATTATTCCTTTTATTTTCATTTTTGCACTAAAAATTCATTTTTACATCTTGTGTAAAGCTAATGCCGACAATATTGTAACTTTCAAGCCTCATAATTCAAAAAGTAGGTACTTAATGAAAATGAGCTTAATTATAGTGTTTTGGAAAGCTCTCAAGGTAAGCTACAAGAATATGTAATAAAAAATGGAGGGTTCTATTTAAAAAATTCAAAGTGGCCTTGCTCTCACTTTGACAACGCTACCCAAGGTCAAATAAATGGTACCATCTTATTCTCTCCTTAAAGTCATAAAACTTTTGTCTGAACATATTAGTCATTTGACACACACTTTCAGGAATAATAGCTTGTAATACTTTACATGGACCACCATGTATATATATTGATATATATATATATATATTGAAATAATTTTATATTTTTTGACAAGACGTGTGCCTCTGTCCCTCAATAACCCATCCGCCTTGTCCATCATCATCTTCGTCACATTCACTGGTTAAGAATGCTTGTTCAAAATATTATCAAGAGATTGGAGCTGAGATGATTAGCAATCAGCTGATTATTAGATTAGAGAAAGATAAAAATAAGTCGAAAAGGAAACGGGAAGAATGGGAACCACCTTGCGACTGCGTTGAAATTCAGAGACCGACGAGCAAAACAGGCCCCAAAATAATCAATGCCGATTATGACGATCGCATTATATTTCGCGTTCATTCGGCATATCGTTTATATGAAAAAGAAGATCCTTATAAATCGCAAACTATTGCCTACAAAGTTTGTCCCGTTCAATATTAAGTTTTAAAAAATTGTCGTTTTTTGTCGTTTTAGCATGAGTAATAAAATAATAAATTAATATTATAAATTTGAGTAAAACTAGATTATATTGTTAGTCAAAAATTATCGTTTCTAATTTTGTGTATATAAACATTTTATATATTTTTATATTTATACAATAATTAAGATAAATAATTTTTATATAGATTTTTATTCTATATAAAGTTTTTCTTCAAAAGGAAATACATATATATATTTAAAAAAACGAATATATCAAAGGAAACAAAAATACTAAGAAAACTTACAACTTTTACTTTATTGAAAAAATATATATGTATAATTTAAATTTCTGCAGATCGGATCATGCAACGATGGACAGCAAGATAATCATCAATGCAAGACCATCACTGTCTATCCTCAATTTAGTTCGGGAACACAAGAAGTGTACAGCGATCATATAAGAGAAGGCGATCAAGATATCTTTTTATTAAGGATTAAAAAGAAAGCAGAATACTCTGAACAGAAAAATAGAAATGTCGAACTCGAACTCAGAACACCTAAACCGCCGCCAATACCGTCACCGTCATCTGTACTTGCATCTGCAGTTGCACCACTGCAAACCAATGATGACGTACAAGTAGAAGATGAAAAGGAATCGGATGTGGTAGAGGAAAATGCAGAGCAGCCAGTAAGCGTAAAAGAAAAAAAACACAAACGAAAGAAGAAAGGAAAATAATTTGGTATCTTAAAAGTAACATATATGTATACTAATTTATTTAAAAACCAAATATCAAAAATAACTCAAAATAAAATGAAATGTAATTCTGTCAATTACATAAAGATTTAATTGTTGCCAACTGTCGAAATCGTTAAAATAAAGTAAAATCAAGAGCTATAATAATGAGAGTTTTAGCGTGATAATCAGTGCACAATAAATAATATTGCGCACTTTGATTACTGCGCCAAAACTTTTATAAGCCCTTACTTTGTTTACATAAAGATTTAAGAAAAAATATAACTATTAATAATTTTTAAAAAATTATATTTTTCTATATTTTATATTTTATAAAGTGATGATTTTGTATATCTATTTATTGTTTAGTTTGCCTAATTCTTTCGTGAAGAATAAGCATTTATCTTATTTAGATGACTACCAGCTTAGAGTAAAAACAAATATTTTTGACATTAGTAAACAATTAAATAGACCTAAACTTCTTTCGGGAGTTCAAAGAATATAAATATGATGAATTTGGATTGAATCTATTGGTAGCCGTTGATAACATTCGGAAGAAAAGGCTGGACTATCGTTTACTATTATGGAATCTTCAATGAAATACACATTGTATGCTTAATACGAAGTATGCGTCTAGCTTATTCATCGTTCGACCGAGTAGCCGTGCAAAATTGCTTCGTTATGATTGACCAGATGATCCTCTCGTTCTTGACTCGTTTCTTTTCATTCTTTTTCCTTAACTATCCATACAAAGGGCCTCATGACAGTCGATGACACAGCATGCCACTGGAGGCCGCATTGTTAAAGACTAAATTATCATAATTGCTTACTAATTTCTTCATCTGCTTCGCTGAGTTGTAAGTGAACGAACTACCTATTAAAGAGTATCGTCACATATTAGACATATTAAAATTTATAACTTTGCATACCTGTTTTCTGTTATTAGATCGATCAAAAAATATGCAAAAGCGATGGGAATTATCTTTGCACATTTTTCACGCAAATATATAATAAGAACGCATATATTACTCAAGCAGAGTAACAAATCACAATAACGTCAAAATGAATCGTAACTTATTGAAAAGTGACTTATAATAATTATTGTGGAGCTATTTTGACATGATTTTGATGTTATGACTTGTGTTTTACTCTTGAGTATCTATTCTCCTTGGCGTTATCTCATTCACAGCTTTTCTTCTTCAAATAAAAAATTAATTTGTTGTTGTATTATTAAATAACAATATAATACGGATATGTCTATTGAGTTTAGTCGTTCTTCTCTTTTAAAAATGATTTAGAAAGTACTCGAAATATCTTAGAGTATCCCCATATTTTTTCGGTATTGTCACCGATTTTTTCGAGATCGTCACAGCCGGCGCGAATCACGAATATCCCGCAAGCGTCGTCCGCGACGTCGGCCGTGGTGTCTATCCGATGTGTAAAGTTAAACTCATAAAAGAGAAGAATGGATGTCGCGATTATCGGTGTGTAGGGGGAGAGAAGGATTCACAATATACGCGGGGACGCGGGAGTAAGAAAATGCGAGGGCGGTTTCGTAATTGTGAATGGCGTGGGAGTTCATAAAGGTGTCGTCCGCATTCTGTGTGGTCGCGTTTAAGGGCGGTGACAATGGCGCTGACCAATAAATTAGGACGCCACGAGGAAAGAGCGCGCTCTCGATGCACATGGAGAGAAAACGGTGTGACGAGCACGGTCGCGGCGGTGAGTGAAAAGCTACTCGTTTTTCCTAAGCCGTGACGGGCTAAAGAGGAGCCTGCGGTCGCTGATGAATGGAGCGACAAGTGACCACGATATTGTACGGGGAACGGCTGTCTGCGAGCTAAAGAGAGGATCTCGACGCGCGAGAACTGACGTCTTCAGGATGAAAGAACTACGATAATTCATAGGCCACTTGTGAAAAACGCGTAAAATCGAGATATTTTTTCGCACGCCCGGGCACAAACAGAATTGAACACGTATAAAGGAACTGGTAGCATCTCGATTAAAGAAAACTCTCGCAAACGTTGATATTGATTTCAGACAGGTAAATGTTCGTTACGAAAATAGTAATGGATGAAATGTAATCTTCTTGAAATAACTTCTTTTGAGTGTAGTTACTTTTTTTCTAGTCACTTCCCTTGATTAAATTTTTTATGCTTATTTCTACTAATATAGATTAACTTTAATCTCGATTTAACTTTATCTTTCTTCTAATTCCTTATAGACCTAGAAAAAATAAAAAGTAAGTTAAACCAAGATGAAAGTTAATTTAAAAACGATCATTAGTTTTCTGTTATTAATATCATTGCTAAACGATTTTTATAGTTATAAATTACAATTAAAAGTCACATAGAAATTAGCAGAACAATTTAACAGAGTTAAATTATAATAAACAAAACAATACTGTAAGGGAAGATTCAATTTTGAATTATAATAAAAAATGATAACGTGGAAAGTATTTTTGCTTCCTTTTTTGCGAACCAGCAAATTATTTTTGGTTTGGTATAATTCTCTCATTTTCCGTTAATAATATTAATTGTCGCAATCAGTAAAGGAATAAATAAATCAACAGGCACGTTCACCGCGGGCGGTAACGCGCGCGATTATTCAGGGTGGTCTGCCGATTGTGGCATCGGAAACTGCAGCTAAAGCTGTTTGATCCGTGAACGAAAGATAGGGGGAAAAGCCGTAATATCATCATCATTATATTACGTCACACAGATGCGCAGATCAGGGGATCTCGAGACCGCCGTTTTTATATTGCGGTTACTGCGCCATTGTGTATCCTGATATTCACAAAGGGCCACAGAAGAACCCCTGCGGAGAGAAGGTCTACGGCATAGCAGGATTACTGATTGGATGGTTCCCCTGTCAACAGTTATGATAATCTGTACATACTTCCTGTATATCTTCCCTTTCCGATCACCTGTCAATTCTGCGAAGATATTTCTGCAGAAATTGAAAAATATGTCACACGAGTAGATCGATCATTACTTTAGCCCAAGGAATACACCTGTCAAAAGAGAGAGAAAGTCAAAATGATTTTATTTTGACGTCATGAAAATCAAAATGATTTTATTGAAAAATTTAAAAATATCGCAAAATTAAGTTGTATTTAACTACACTGAAAAAAATGCATGTAATTTTACATGGAAATTACATGTTCATGACTGGAAAATTGCCTAAATATGATTGGAAATTTACAATTTCCAGTAAATTTCCAAGCATATTTATATAATTTAAATAATTTTCTAGTCGTATACATATAATTTCCATGTAAAATTACATGCATTTTTTTCAGTGTATGACCATAGTCTATGGTTAAATACAATAACCATAGACTATGACCATAGCATATGTAACTATGGCCGATATTCATAGTCGATTCTTATTTCAAGACCGTCTTAAATAATGTCTTAAGACACTAATGCGGCCCTCTGATTAGTTCGTGACATCTTAAGACTGTACTTATAACTTCTTAAAAAGTACCGCTTATATGTTTTGCTGATTTCGTGCAACTGGAGAGTGCGTTGTTACCAATCATACTAAATTATAGTATATTTATAATGAAGTATAGCATGGGATATGAGATACACCCATATTTGATCCACGTTGATTTTCCACCTGGTTCACGGAGGATTAAGAGAGAAAGCAGGATATATTCTTATAAACTGCAGTAACAACCGAAAATCTCTACCTACCTTCCTTAATATAAAACTCTCCACAGACTCTCTCTCTCTTTTAGATACACAGATATCTTTTCAAACCTACATGAATATGTAGACTACTTTAAACTTGTAAATTACTAGTATCTTCTTTACTATTAACCCCAAATATAAAATATGGCGTCACAAATTTTTTTAAAATTCTTGCAAAGCAAACGCTTACTATTATTCAAATTTCTCCGCTACATATATATATATATATATTCAAATTATCCCACTAATTCAAATAGTATATATAATAATAACCGTGGCAATATGGCGGCATATGGTATCACGTTTTTATTGGCTTAGAAATGAATGCGCAAGAGCACATCTGAGTTTCTTTAACGACGATAATCAATAAAAATTCTAGCGACTTTTATTTTTCTACGATATGAAGTATAATGTGTAAAAAATGTTTTATATAACAGTTTTACTTAATATTTAAAATTACTTTAAAGTTAAATTAATATTACTTTATTATAACTGTAAAATTATTTTATTCATTAATATATAGGAAAATATTTTATATTTTATTTGTCAATTCATTTAATACGAAAAATTAGTAATATATGTAAATTTAGTCTGTTTCTGCATTTAATATTTTAGCTCACTCTGAACATAGTATAATTAGCAACATAAGGTACAATAAAATTGACATTAATGATGTCGTTATTGAAAGTGAATATGTATCGGCTGTCTATTTGTTATTCCTAAAAAATTTTGTAAAAAAATTACCAATAATTGTTACCTTCATGTAAAGTGACAGCGAGCATTAAATTATTCATATGAGGGAAAATGTTGGCAAATCATGCTGGAATCACTAATAGTCTTGACAGTGCTGAATTGTATTTTTATGTTCAGTTCCACAGTAACAACCTGCGCATTATGGTAATTTTTTACAAACTGCTTTTTTTGTTGCAATTGTGCGTGATTGTTATTCCTAAAATGTATGAATAAAAGAAAAAAATACAAATAGTTGTGGGAAACTATTATATAAATTACATATGAAAAACAAAAATAAAATTGTAAATTGCAGTTCTTTGTTATCATACAGGTTACTTCCTTACATAATATAAACAATTCCAAGTATATATATTTAAACAAAAAATAGTTTCTCACATACATTTGAATATATAAGAATATAATGAGATCTTGAAATTTTGATTTTTAACAATAATAATCTTAAAATAAACAATATATATTTAATAGGACTCTCGAATTGGTTTTCCGGACTTATAAATGTAATTAAACTACTGTAATAATATCACAAATTAAATTAAATTGGACCAATTCGCGCGCGGTTCGAATGACTACAAATATGGTATATATGCATGTACATATATAGCATATATATAAAATTCACATTGAATTATTTAAACATTAAAGATCCAGCTTCGACCGTTATAGGCATTTATTTTCTAGTTCATATGATTTTTAAGTTTACAAGAAAAATAAACAGAAAAGTACGATCTGAGTATATAGCGGCGTAATCTTGCTTTTATATGATATATAGGATATAGCAAAGCAAAAAATGTATAATGTAATGTTTCATTTAACTAGAATTGAAAATTTGTTTTATCGACATTGATAAACTTCGGGCGTCACGTCAGCATCCCTTAAATATTAAAATATATGTGCTATTAATAATTTTGTTGCACATCAGGTGGCAATATCAGGGTCATCGTTGTTGTCCTAGAAAAACTACTACTCAACAAAAATTCGATTCAAAGAGATCGAAGAACTATACTCTACAAACTGCCAAAAAGTCAAGGAAATCAGATTTTGATGGCTATGCTAAAGTTAGCAAGTCTGGTATAAATGGTAGCAAGTACAGAAGTAAAAAAAGTCAGAAGAATAGGTCTAAAGATCTGGAATATAAAAAAAGAAGCAAACAGAATATATCATTCATGTAAAAAAATTATATTTTATATTATTGTTCTTTACTTATTTTCCTATTTTTATGTTGCTACAATACTTGCTTTTAATATATTTTTTTAATATCAATTTACAATTTATTATTGTTTATATTGAATATTCATTTCAGAGATGGACTGGAAGTAAGAAAGTTCGATGAAAAGGCCAAAATGTCAGAGGCTTCTCAAACGATAAATGATACAAAGTCAACGGTCGTAATGGAATTTTCAACAGTCCAAAAAGTTGTGCAGATTGTCGACAACGATCTTGATATTAATTCAGTGAGAGCTCCTTTTAAAGAAATTGTCATTCAAAAAGATATTGCAGACAAGAAGCGTGATTATAATGTTGAGCAAAATTTCAAAGCTAACATAGCTACTACTGACTCTTAAATTGTTTTGTAACAGATTAATAAATTAACGATATAAACTTATTATATAGACATTTTAAATTTTAAGATAAAGATTAAAAACAGAAATTTTATAAACATAAATGAAGATTATATACTGAAAAAAATGCATGTAATTTTACATGGAAATTATATGACTGGAAAATGCCGACAAAAGCCTAACATTTCAAAATTTTTAGTCTTATTTGTTGTATTCAAGTTTATTTAAAAGAAAACACAAATATATATGGACAAATAGCTCTTCTTAAACCTCCATCGGCAATGTAAAATTCTCACCCTTTGTCTGTAATCTGGATCTTCGAACTTCAGTGCAAATTTTTATATTGTTCTGTGTATTGTATAAAAGTCTAAAAGATTCCTATATACTTGCATTTGTGAAAACTTTAACGAGTTTTTATTATCACAGAAGTTAAATTATATTTTACTTATTCTTTTATACATTTAAATTTATCTATTAGAATTCACAATAAAAAAATTAATTATTCCTTTTAAAGTTTTACATTGCGGAGAATTAATGAATACGAATGATTTTAAAGATAGTACATATCTCTCTCTCTCTCTCTCTCTCTCTCTCTCTCTCACTTAATCGATATAGTTATTGATTTTATTGTTGAAAGAATTGTTCAACATTGTTCTTCATCGTTCGACGTTTTTATTTCATTGTTATAATCCACTTTTATTTTTAATTCTTGATGCCCCTTGTTTTTACCTCAAGATCTTTTACAAACATGATATTCGCTTTTATTTGCTTTTAAATTTGCATTTGTGCTATTCCTCTTGTTTAAAGAATCATCCGACTTGTAACTATTCGAATGTTCAGCTTGTTTGTTACATATTAGTGAGGTTTTCCTATTCTTTTCCAGCGTACACTGATGCATGTTCCGACATTCTCCTGATTGAGCGCATATTTTTTCCCTATGGTACAATTGACATTCTTGTTGATCTTTACGATTACGTTCAAAACAAGAAGAATTTTTGAATTTCCGTCGCGCATAATCTGAGTCAGCTTTCACGCATCTCGGAAAATCGTGCGAACGTACTTTTCGATGTTTCTGCTTCGGCTTTCTACGTACGCAACATTCGCTCGAATCCACTCTTCTAAGATTCTTTGAAAATCTTGGAAAACTGAGAAAAGAGGAATAATTTAAATAAAGAAACACACACAGAACAAACACTTGTATCGTTTGCAACCCACGATTTTTACGAGCTCGTACCATACCGAAAAGAGGATACACCAGATGCATGTTATGCAAGCGCTGTTGCATATAGTAATACAGTCCACCATCTCGTGAGAAACTTCGCATTTTGTGATTTACGATGACGTTTACAGGTTCATATTCCAATTGATAAACTTGATTTTTTTAGATTTAATAATAAAATTACCCCAATCATCGACGCCGCAAATTACATGCATACAATAACAACGTATAATAATGATTAACATATGAAGTATAAGTCTATTAAGCCTGTCAAGCCTGTCAACTGCAACACTAAAAATATGCTAAAAATAGTGTTAGGACGCGTTCACACCTTGACGGAAAAGTAAAATAGCAAAAAGCAAAAAGCGGAAAAGCAGTGGCCAATCACAACTCGAGCTGGTAGTAAGTAGTACAAAAAGCTGAAATTGTCGACTATCAGCGCGAGTTCTGATTAACTGCTGCTTTTCCGCTTTCTGCTTTTCCGTCAAGGTGTGAACGCGCCCTAATTTCATCATAGATTTTTTTATGAATTCCATGGTCTAATTCCATCATGGAGCTAAAAGATGGAGCTAAAAGAAAAGATAAGCTAAAAAAAGATGGAACTAAAAGATGAAGAAAAATGGCTGAAAACGGAGCTAAAATTTTCGTTGATTTTATGTCACATCACGAAATGTAAGTATCACTATAATTTTTAAACGCAATCGTTGATTTCCAAATAACTTGGGATGTTAGAGATTATCGCGTTATGCAGCTGTGTTTTTCTTTGATAAGCTTTTGTGCTTCAAGTGTAAAGAATTTAACCTACTTATTCTTGCATTCTTTCAAACTGTGTAATTTGCTAATTTTTAATGTTTAACCAGAAAGCTGTAGTTTAGAGCACTTTGAGTATAAGTAATAATAAATTATATCCAGCTAAATTTTATATTTGTGCCTTGAATGTTGCGTGATTAGATTGTTGATTTTACAGTGCATTTGTTGATAATATCGTATTACAATGTTAACGCTGTAAGTGCTGCAGTTTATTAAATGTTGGGAGAATTAATTTATACATCTAATATATTAATGACTTTATTATAATTCTGGTTTACTTTGCAAACTAATTATGAAGTGAAAAGTAATAGTAATAATTAAACAACGCCTTTTAAACACTCATTTTTCTTCAGCTAATGATTTGCTTTTAAGATCTAGATCACTGTTGATTTCACAACCTCTGTCCTGTTAACATATACTAATAATATTTTAATGATTGTTTAACGTTAAGGCTTCTGTTTACTTACTATCCCAGTTGCAATTTATTGGCGATTATACTCGTTAAATATTGATGATGTAATTATGCTATTAGGGTACTATCTCAGATTGTGACATCAGAAGCGAGAAAATACATAAATACATATTTATATGTGTTTAATTATGTATATTAAACTGGTAATTTGGTATAATTAATGTTTTATCTAGCAAAGTACAAATTCTTCCGCAGATCGCTTGTTTATCCCAGTGAGTGTTTCTTCAAAAAGTCTCCCAAAATTTATTACCTTCATATGAAATCAATAATTGTAACCTACTGGTTTACTTTGTAAGCTGGTCACGTCGGCGAAATTTCGTTACGAAAACGTCGAGATATACAGTTCGCACTCTCTATTTAATCACGCATTTATTAGGTGTTAAGAGCTTGTGTACGTGAATTTTCTTCATATGCGGCATGTTATATGTGTACGTGTACAATGTTGAATGGTAGGGAACTTGGTGTATAACTAGCGCGAGGAGGAGAGGAATCGTTTTGTTTCAAGCAGATAGAAATCCTAAGCGGACAGGAACTGCAGAAGGTACTTCTTCATTCTTCAAGTTGGCCTCCATAATGCAACATACATGTGTGCTGTGATTTTTGCATCATGCCTGTGTGATGTTTCGCCATCTATTGCGAGGTAAGTGTCGTAATATCTAAGATCGATCTTCGAAACGTGCTTCCTTTCAATCTATAATATAAATAATGATACAAAATATAATATAAAATTGTAAATATGTATAGAATTCATTAAATTGCTTTCTTTTAATTCTTCGATAAAATCTATTTTTTTAAAAAGGGTTTATGAAAAAAATAGAATTGTATATCTTATCTTGGTCTTACAGAATAATATTTACATATAGAATTTAAAAACCTTTTTTTACATTATCCTTATAAAATTTGTATAAAATTTATTTTTATTACATAGACTTTAGATTAAAGAAATTTAATATTTAAAATGTTACTTTATTAGCTTTCCAATCAGGCAAGTTTAATTTCACATTTATTCATTCAAAAGAAGGGAAATGCACGATCATTCATCTTATATCTTCATTTTCGTATTTTGTAATTATCTCTTATCTAATATAGTTATTCCTATATCAACTCATATTTACTTGTTTATCTTCTCGAGATTCTACTACTATCCTATCTTCTCTAACATAAAATTTCTCTTATGTATATTACCCACTCCAATTTTCTCCGGTTTATTAGCAATATTATTTGCAGTTGTAATATTGCTGATAAACGTGATATAATTATATGAAAATCAGATCAAGTTGCAACTTGCTTTGGTTGGAATTGCTTGCAAATTACTTAGACTTTAAATTAGAAATTTGTAATGTTTTTATTCCAACAATCTTCATATAAAATCTTATTATAATTATCAAAAAGATCAAGATTAATTAGTCGGTTATGCTCGTATCGTCCTTTCTTTTCGCAGTTAAGTTATTACAATAGCGAAAATTTATTGATTAATAATTACGAACTATTTGAACTATTTTGCTTTGTAGCTTACGTAACATGAAAAATGTAATAAATATTCAAATTTAAAGACAAATTTGAAAAAATAAAAATGGAAAATTTAATTTACTGGTGTTAATTTAATTTTTTAATTTAAATTTAATTTTATTGAAAGCGCAGTAATAAATATGTTTAAATTCTCCATCTTTCGTGAACATTATTCGCGATAACGGAGAATTGTCGTGAACTAATCGGTTTAAAAAAATTGCGCATTCAAAATTTGGAAATAATTGAAATGAGGTCATCCGCAAAATCGAATTCACGTTACGTACGCTCTCTCTTGAGTTTCTCTGACTCGCCCATGTACTGTGTTATTTCCTTTATTACTTCACCTTCGTTCGTTAAGCATATATTTTAAAGAGATAAATATCGTTTACGTTTAACATTGAGACTGAACGGAAACGTCTTTGCATCAGTAAATAAATTGCTGATTGATATGCGCGTAATTAAGTACCTAGATATTACGGCTAATTTAAATGTGTAAATTATAACCTCTGCAGAAATATGATATGTGTAAATTAGCGATACTAGCACAAAAACAGTAGAAAAGACACGAATAATATCTAAATTATACGTTTTCTGCATTCTGTTTGATACTTCAAAATTTTTTGACTATAAAACTCCGTTTATCATGATATTTGCAATTTGTGATCAAATATTTGTTCGTCAAAATGAGAAAACCGAATTGTTAAGATGTATGACTTAGTGCTATCTTTACCTATTCTGATAGGAAAAATGTGAAAACAAACGATAGATGTAATCCTGTATCATCCAGCAAATATCAATGATTAGCGAAATTGTACGTTTTTTTTTAAATAAATGTTACAACACTCCAGCAAGTTTATTACTTTAGTGTTTTATATGTGTTGTAAGTTATGCTAAAGTGTTAAAAAATCTATCAAATTGCTACATTGTAAGTGTGTATAAATTGTGAAAATTTTATATTAAATAACATCCTAAGTGTGTATAAATTGTGAAAATTTTATATTAAATAACAAAATGATTGTAATAGTAATAAAAATAAAATAAATAAAAATAAAAATAATTTTGTGACTGAAAAATAAATCAAATCTAACAATTAAAATGCCTATATGAGCATCCGCGATTGTTGGTGCGTAAATAATAGATTTATAAGACGATAAAATATAATTAACAAATAATTAGAATGTACTTATCACCAAGTTGTCTACAAACGTTTTAACTCTGGATTTAAGTCCTCCTTAATGTCAGTGCGGAAGTCAAGTACAAACTATTGGATTTGAATCTTTCTTAATCTTAGTGTAGAAGTGAAGTACAAACAGGATTGGCAAACGTTATTTTTCAATTAATTTGCCGTTACTTTTTATAGTAAACAATTTAATGACAATGTTATAATTTTTTATGACGGTAACGCTACCCAGGAAAAAATGAAGAAGATTTCACTATATATACAGCCAATTTTTGGTTGCGTTCGCCTATCCGCAATGTCTGTATAGGATTTCAATTGGCTGCTGCAATCAAAAATTGGTTGCTGCAACCAATTAAAAATGCTATGACATATTTTACCATCTAATTTGCTGCAGCAGCCAATCTTTTCTTTCAGTGTATAAACGCTAAGATTGTGCTTAGGTTAGAAGAGTTACTTTGAAAAGTAACTTGTCACTATTACGCGTTATTTTCTGAAAAAAAAGTAATAAGTAACTAGTAACGCGTAAAAAGTTACAAGCAGCGAGTAAAAAGCAACGTATTACAAATTAGGAGTTATTTTTTTCAGTAACGAGTGACTCTTTCAACGTTACGAAATAACGATTGACTTTTCTAACTCTGATGTTACCATCACCGTCATAAAAAATTCACAATATCATTACCAAATCATTATCGTAATAAGATAACGCTCAACAAAGTAATGACATTACAAGTAACACGTTATTTGCCAACCCTAAATATAAACTACTGAATATAGTCGGTAATAGTAAAAAATTACTGAAAATTCAGTAGTTTGTGTTTGATTTCTACAATGAAGAGGACTCGATCCAGAATCAATACATTTTCTGTTAACTTTGTTGGCACATTTCAATTGTTTGTAAATTATATTTTCCCAGCACAAATTTCCCAAGGTACTAAAGACATTCCAGAAAATGTCCTGTTTGTTCTAAGAACATTCTCATGCAGGAAGTTTCTCGGATAAAATGTATACGGGTTATTGCCTTATAAATATATTGTTTACTTATATAGACATTTTCTACTCATATTTAATAAAAATAAATACTTATATTAATAAAAATAAATTTATATGATTTCCATTACAGTAACAATCATACTATCAGAATTATTCTTCTCTTGCATCAAATCTTGCAATCCTTGCATCTGTGGCTAGACAACAATATCGATTCAGTGATTGTCTCAGAAAATCATGACGTTGTTACCACCAACGCCGGCGCAACAGAAACGTATAGACAAGGAACTTCCATCTGATCCGAAAATGAGAAAACAAGATATCAGAGCGCTTCGAGAATGGCTTTCAAAACAGCCGCATTTGCCGAATCACATAGGTTTGTTCTTAAATTACTCATAATCATGTTGATAAAATAATGTGTTATTTTAATGGATATAAAAGTATAATTTCAAATATATTAATTATAATATGTAAAATATTGAAAAGTATTTAACCTAAATGTCTAAACTAATAGGGAAACAAACTCAAATACGTTTCCTGTCAATTTTGATGAGCTTTGGATATACATATTATAAGTTAAGAGATTTGTATTTTTTTATAAATGCTTTTATGTACATTATTAAGATAACGAAACACATATTTGAAAAAATTGACTTTTATGTTTTTTTTAAGCGTGTAACATCGAAACAAGAGGAGATATATATGTTTTTGTAATATTTCAAAAATACTATATCTATCGTGTATTCAAATTTTTTTAAATGTTACATATTTTTTTAAATTTTAAATAATCCGTTTAGCAAGAATTGCAAATATTTATTAAAATAGAGAAAAATAAAATTCCTGCCAACAATGAGATTTCAAATTAAATACAATTACATACATTTAACAAAAAATGTGTGAAGTTTTGCGTAAAGGAATGTGATCTTTACATACATCTTTCATTTATTACAGACGACAACAAACTAGAGAGATTTCTTTTCAATTGCAAGAACAGCATTGAGAGGTGTAAATTAATCTTGGAAAGATACTACACCGTCCGAACATCCTTGCCGGAATTTTTCACCGCTCGCGATCCGCTGTCTCAAGATATTCGAGACTCTTTCAATAGAGTGTAAATAAATCTTAGATTTTTGATATTCGAAACTTCTTCAATATAACGTAAATAAATTTTAGATTTTGTCACGAAATTGACTAAAAAAGGAGTTAAAATAGCTAATTTTAAATTGACAAATCGGAAAGTCTTAACTAAATTTACTGTTGCATGTGTTTCTAAACAAATATTTTTGTTAGAGATTATTTCATCCTGCCATCATTAACTGAGGAAGGGTACCGTGTCATCATCTGTCGATTACGTGACACCGACGTGGAAAAATTTTCGTTTCAAGCGTTAGTGAAACGTATTTTAATGATACTTGATATACGTTTGATGGAAGAATTCTGTTTGTCCAATATTATAATCATAGATCTCGAGGTATGATAGTGTTTTTATTTCGACATCTTTTTTATTTTGTATCTTATCGTTATTCTTACAATCTCAAAATCATAATTATTAATATCATAATTTATCTAGGACATTATTTTTAATAAATCTTTGACATTATTTCAATAAGTTTAAATTTCGTTAAAGCGAAATATCCGTTGCTTTAATACATGTAACTTTTTACGATATAACAAATTCATATGCTGATATTTTAAGGAATATATATATATATATATACATGTATATATACATATTATATGTATATATGGTTGGGTATAAAGTTGTGGGAAAGTTGCACTTAAGCGCAAAGTACATCGAATACACTCCCATCTAGTTATGTTGCTGTTACTTCGAAAATAAATGATTGTGGGTAGCTTTATTAACGAAATCTAGTAAGTAAAAATTAAATGGTGTAAATTCATTAAAGAAATTTTTCATTTCTAATTTTTTACTCCATATTATTGCTTTAATCTTCAAAGGTGTATGAATTATTCCTAAATTGTTCATCAGTGACTATCATCAAATATAAATATAAAATATCCGTAATTCATTTTAAAAGAAATTTGTTTTTTAGGGATCTAGCATGGCCCACTTCACAAAATTCATTCCGACGCAATCTATTGTAAAGCGGGCAATGTTGGCGGTGCAAGATAGTATGCCTTTCCGATTGTCTTGCATTCACTTTCTTCACGCACCGTCGTTCATCACTGGTGTAATCAATATATTTTATCCACTTTTAAAAGAAAAATTGACTCAAAAGGTAATGCTAAAGGTTTTAATAAAGTAATTGTTAGGTAAATGAGATTGAGAAACGAACGAAAAATGCACATAAGTATAAATTTTTTATCTTTGCAGTTTCAATTTTTTAACGGTGGTGCGGAAGAATTATATGTTTACATGAACAAAGATGTATTACCTAATGAATGGGGTGGCAAAGCAGGCACTTTTCAAGAATTAAATGGTAAATACATAATCTTTTTTATTTTATACGTGTATTTTAAACAATATTAATTTTATCTTTATAAAAGCGTTTCTGCTTCATGTATTGTTTATAAATAAAAATATATTTATAAACAAAATCTTCATTAATTAAGTTTCTATCATATTAATATATACAATTTCATAAAATTGTAAGAACAGTTTTTAGGTTTATATGATATACAATATTACACTTTATTTCTCTCATTTATAGATGCATGGCAAGAAAAAATTGAAAAGAATAGAGATTGGTTTCTACGGGATGAAAAGTTGAGTCGTATAAATGAGAAGGCTCGTTTACCGGAATCGAAATCATCCTGTCTTGCAATGGACATCGAAGGAACTCAAGGTTCATTTCGAAAGTTGAATATAGATTAATGATATTCTTATTATAAAAATTCGATTAAAATTAGCATATAATTTTAATCAACTAATAAATAAAATGAAATTTAATGAAATTACGGTTTTTAAAGCAGTAATGATTTTATATTTTTAAAAATAAAATTGTATGTACCTCATACGTGGAATTTAGCGCACTCTTTGGAAAATAAAATAAAAATTTATTTGAGAACCTATAAGACTAATTTTTTATTTAAAAACACATTTATTACTAAGCTATTTGTTACTAAGAAGAAAAATTTGCAAAACATTTAATAAAGTTTTATTTTTATTTATAAAATTTTATATTTTGAATTTACATCAGTTTATTATCCGATGAACAAAAAAGCTCATATTCTCGTATTTCATGATACTAGTCTATAGATAGCGCCACTTCTATGCTTATCGTTGTGTGTTATAGAAGTGTATTTCTTAAACACATATTTTAAAATTATTTTTATTTTTATTTCAACTTTAATAAAATTTATAAAATAATTTAAAATATGGTAATAAATGCCTTTACATATGTTTTTTGTTTAAAAGCATATGTAATAATAAAATAAGAAAAATAAAATTTTTAATAAATATTTCGTGCTTAAAAAATATTTAAAAAATCAATGCATATAAAACATCAATACATAACTGTTTTTTGAAAGCAATCTCACGACAATTTCAATACATACATCGTCTTATGAAATGAAGATATACGTACGAAACGAGGAAAAAAGAAATTACACAATTATATGCAAAAACTGTAATTGTTGAGTATAACATTTAAAAAAAGTTGAGCGCTATAATTTGCATGACCCAGATACAGTTATCGATGTAATAGTGGGCGTCTAAACGTCTTGTACTAGCCTGTCAGCTAAATCAATTTATTCCGGCTTATTTTATGCAACGTAACAAAGATCATAAAACGCATTTATCATAAATTATCTGTGAATTATGTTACTTTTATATATGTCCAACAGTATAGTAACATTAAATAATATAAACATGTTTACATATTTCGACTCAGCAGATTTATTTTAAATTGTGAATCAGTATATGCAAGTTTAGAAAGATAAAATGTGATTTACTAATATTATTCATCATTAAAGAATTCCATTTACAACATCAATCTGCTATCTTATACAGGGTGTCTGATAAGTTTTGACAAAGCGCTCGTATGCAGATAGAGTGGACTAAACTGAATCGAAAAGTTCTCTATCATTTTGCAATTTTTGCAGTAGTGAATGAGATATTAATTTCTAAAGATTGTCGAATAAGCCGGTAAAATCGACGTATAAGACAACTTTAAGATTTCTTTCATAGTTCTTTATAAAATATCTTAAAGATGTTTTTTAAAAAACTGTTAAAGGTATCTTAAAGATTTTATATGTATTTCAGACATTCTACTCATTGGGTAACTAAAAAACAATTACGAAAATTGCAAAATGGTAGTGGACTTTTCGATTAATTGTCAGTTTAGTCCGTTCTATGTACACACGAGTGTTTTGCCAAAACTTACCGGACATTCTGTATATAAACTTTTAATTTTGAAACCAGAAGATAATGAAAATTTTTATATATATTTTATATTATATTTTTAAAAGAGTTTTTCTCAACCAGTAAACAATTAAATTTACAAGCTATTGCAGTTTGACATCATTCTATTCGGTTAATTTTTATATACAATAAATAAAAAAAGCAAACAGCCACACACAGGATACTGGTAGTAAAAGTCATATATTTGAAATTTGTTCATTAATAATAAGATCATATACGTTTCGGCTACGATCTGGCTATCCTCAGTATATAAAAAGGACAGATTAATATTAATTATAAATTTCGGTATTGTAACGTAAAAGCACAATGACATTTAATTTTTATTTGTTTAATCTTCAAACTTATTAACTCAAAAATAAATTTAAAAAATGCTTTTAATGTCGCCTTTAAAAAATGATCTTTTAATGTCGCCCATTTGCATTTAAATGATAAAATTTCTTGAATATGGAGATTAAATAACAAATTGAAGATAGAGTACAAAAGTTTCATTACCTTATTAAGGTATAAATTTATTTTAACAAACTCAGTTATGAAATTTTATAAGAAATTTGGTTGATAATTTGGTAGGCTGATTATTTACAAGACAATTAATTATTTATGATACAAATTAAATAAAGCTTAAAAAATACATAAATACAAAGTTAAAAAATAATTCCGAAATATCACTTGCTTGTATCCAATGTTTTTTAATTAATCTTCTAGTCTTATTTATACTGCAGTTATCGACTTTATGTCTAATAGTAACGCCTACTTCATAAAGAAAATATAAAAACGATATTTTCATGTATCGTAAAAATATTTTTCAAGAGATGACTATTATTAATGTTTCTTCAGATAGTATCAAATAGAAATGCAAATTTCAAGTAATAAAAAAAATTGTCGTACAAATAATACAAGGCGAAATACCGCAGTAAGCTAAAACGACGTCTGATAGTAACTTTATGACTGCCGCAATGCACAACGTTGTCTTCTTTCGTCCTCGCTTAACTAACTTAATAAGCTAATGATGCTCGCGGCCTGATGCATCGAATAATGCCTCTGTTGAATCTACTTTGATTCGTGCCGAATACGGTGTTAGGGACGTTTGTTTGTCGCTCGTATTGTTGAAGAGCGCGAATCGCGTCGTATATTATAACTTTTTCCACTGTTTGCTATTTGAATACACTGTAAAAAAAGTGTTTATTTTAAGATATTAAAAATGTTTTCTTATTTCCGTTTTTTAAAAGATATTTTAATTTTAAACTTTTTCAATAAACAAAACACTAAGTGTTTGGATTTAAAACAGGCGCATAGTGTTGTGTTTATTGAAAAAGTTTAAAACTAAAATATCTTTAAGTGTTTAAAAAACGGAAACAAGAGTAAAACATTTTAATATCCTTATAAAATTAAACACTTCTTTTTTAAGTGTAATTATTTTCTTCATTTCATACGCTTGTCTCAGTAATGTAATATTCGTTCTGAGCACAATGGGGGATAGTCGAGGAATGCAAGGTGCACACACCTTGTTTACACGTATCATTTACACGTTCATTGTTGATTTCTTTTGTTTAACCACTTGAAGTCTATTTCCAGCTCCTTCCTATCTTTTTTATCTTGATGTATCGCAAAACTCAAAGTACGCATTAAGATGTTATCAAATATAATTTTCAAGGCGATTTTGTGCGAAAGTCTTATTTATGCCTCATTAGCTACTCCAGTTTGTTACGTTGTTACGTCACAAATGATACATTCATTGTTTATAATGCGATTGATAACAGTATTCGATGATAAATAATTGTACTCCGTGTACGACTCAAGTTTTGATTCACCTCGCGCGTGCTCTGCATACCTGAAGAATCTTAAACAACGCAATAAAGGCGGCTCAAGTTGCCTCGCACGTAAATAAAATGCATACGTACAGACGAGTATTTATTGCGCGAAGAAACTGCTTTCGCGATATGAAATATCGCTGCGTGTTAATAGAAAAGTGACGTTTAAAATTAACAATTTTTCAGTAGAGCATTTTTTAAATTCTAAATTAGAGCAACATATATTAGGATAATGAATATGCATTACTTCATTTTCTTTCCATGTTACACTTTCAATTATATCCCAGTAAACATCAAGTAACATAATATTAATGTTATAATTTTGTATTCAACTATATAAGTGCAATATAACGTATATATATATATATAACACATGGTGTTATATATCTATACATAACAGTTGCATTGTTGAGTGTGTTATAACATTTAATCATTGATATTATATCGTTATATATTACTTGTAATTAGTGTTTATCAGGATGTATTTTATTATATGCATTCTTTAAATGTGAATTTTCAAAATTTAAACTTTATCACCTTAACGCTAATTTCTGACTTGTATCACTTTTTTATCAACACGGCATATATATGTATACGAAGCGTTTTTAATAAATTTACAGGTCACAATAATGTCAAGATAACGCAATAATTAAAATTAATAATAACTGATCGAAAAATGTTTTGATAATTATCTTGGCGCCAGTTTGATGCCATTTCGATGACTTTTTCTGCTTGAGGTTGAAGCGATTCTAATTATGCAAGCACATTAATTCTGAAGAACGTAGTAGATAAACAAGTCAATATTTATATACAGAACGACGCAATATGTTTTCCGTGTCGTTTTTTTTTTTGCTAATTATATGCATTAATAGCGCGTACATCGCTATCGGATACCAATGAGGCGCGCCTGGTCATAAACCGCTTAGGTCGGAAAATTGTTTAGCTTGCATGTATAAATATCCACATGTTGTTTATATTGCGTACGTTATATAAGCGTCCAAGTATCTCAATCGATACTATATATACATATTTATCGTTCGTATCAGAATATTATGCTTGCTATTCGTAAGTAATAAGAAAAGAATCTCCCCCCGTCCTCCTGTAATTCTATACTTTTCACAAAAGTAGAAAAGATGAAATACAGTAATCTTGATATACAAATGAAATATTTAAAATATGCGTAAACAAGAAGTGTGTAATTTTAAGAAGTTAATGTATGCATAGAACGGTAATATATTCATAGAAAACGTAATGTTATACTGGAATTTTATCAGTTATTTTATCAAGTAGATGATAGAGTAGTGTAGTACAATTTCGAATGAAATAAAATTTGAATCCAATGTTTGAAGTTCAAGCTTGGTAACCTTCTCTTTGTGTGGAGGGTACTGAAGGGTACCAAAATAGAAAAAAATCAAATTTGAATTGAAAATTGGATTCAAATCTGATTTTATTCAGAATGTACCATGTTCAAAATTGTGTATCACCTTACCCTATTATTTGCTGATTCCTGCGGAGATCGAAAATAGTACTCGTAACAATCTCTCAAGGTCCCCTTCCATTGACTTCAAGGTAAACTTCGCGATGTAAACTGCGTGGCAGACCAGTTAGTTCCGTGGACGAATACATCGTTGCTCAGGTATCGTA